TGTGTATGTGTGTGTTAGTATGTATGTGCATATGAATGTAAATATAATATGAGTTGGAGTCGCAGATAGCACGCGCGAAATATTTTGCTAACTTGACTCATGTAGACCAATTGGAATACCCTGTAATTGTTATAGCGACAAAAGAGGAATATACATTACTCGAATGGAATGGATGACAGTTGAGACAATATTTGTTGTTAAATATGATTTAAAAAATAAAATACAATATAATCATATTCCTTAAGATAAAAGCTTAATTTACATCAAAAACTCAAAAACCTCTGGCTTGTTAGAGATCTCAACTTATCTGGCACTAGAATCTAATCTGGGTGCCTTCAAATTCGCATATTCTAATTCCTCCATAAGCTGTCGCTCATTTACAGGGTATACCGCAGTCATTCACATTAAGCTTAGCGCAAATATTTTATTAATTAAACGTGGGTTGTGTTGCTGCGGCCTCTCTGCCCCTCAGCATATATCACACTCTTGTTGTCTCAAGAAGTGCTCTCCTCTTTATTTTTTGCTCTCTCGAGCTGTCAGCCCACCCACACACACAACAAACACACACACACACAACAAACACACACACACACACACACACAGAGCAGTAAGGCTGCGTCAAAAGAAAGCCACAAATTTTTAGCCATTTACTGATGTCGTCTTTTCGTCTCTCTTTTCGCCACCCTCTCCTTTTCTTCTACTTCTACTCCTCCTCCTCCTCCTCCTCCTCCTCGTCTTCCTGCTGCTTCTCTTGCTATGGCTTTTCTCTGTGGCACAACGCCTTCATTTCCATTTCCATTTCCGTTCCATCGCTTCATGGTCGCAGCTTCCTCTCGTTCCCCGATTTTCTTTACCTCCTTCGGCTGCTGCTGCCGCTGCTGCTTTGCCGTTGGTTGGTTCTCCAATGTGGCCCGCCTGCAACTCTTTTTTTTTGCAACTTTCTCAGACAGCGGCTGTCATCATCATCATTATCATCATGTGGTTCGCCTTATAGACTCTGCCTGCAACTTGCCTTATACATATATATATATATATTTAACTTATATACAAATATATACAAACAAATATATCTCTCTTTATCTTTGTCTCTTGCGTCTCATTGTTGCTATATCGCATATTATGCTGATTATTCAAGCATTCGTAAGTATGTTGTGTCAGTTTTTTTTTAGCTCTTGCTTATGCAATTGCAATACCCGGCGGGCCTCCATTATCATCAAGATGTTTTTTTTTCTTTGCTGTTATAAAGAATGCGCCGTGTCGCTATAATTTCACATACAAGCTCGTAAAACATTTCCCAGGAGTTTTTTTGCAATTGAAATGCAAAGAAAAAATAGAAATAAAGCAATTTAAAGTGAGCTTTGCAATTGTTAGCCTAATGAACGTTAAGGCTATATGGCTTATAAATGACTGCCTCAATTAGTTATAGATGACATAAAAAAAGAAAGTCATATATATTCATTAGTTTAACGAAATTTTAGTACAATGCGAATTTAATATTTGTAAAGCATATATTTTAGCTATAATTTAGAAAAATTTACGAGATTGTGAGGCTATTGTAGACGTAATTAATATTTAGGATGATATAAATAATGTTGAGATATTACGCAAATAAATTTAACTTTAACTTTTTCATATATTTCATATAATATTAATATTTGATAGTCTACAATTTATTACTTAAAATGTTTCATAGACGTATAAATATAGTTAACATTGTAATCCCCAATATTGACTTGATCTACGAATCTTACATAGAACATTAAGTTTAAAACTCTCCCACTTACCCTGAACATGTTCATTAATACAAGCATACTATATATCCACCTACTTATATGTATTGCTATATGTATTTTCAGAAGTCAGCCCCAACTTCTTCTGCTCTGTTCACCCATTGTTAATGAATAAATGTTTAAAAATAAACTGTTTTACAAAACGAACTGTCAGGGCAGGTGCAATTGCTTTTAACTGTTAAATGAACTTTGTTTTTGCCCCGGTTAATGTGCTTTAATCTATAAATAGATGAGCTCTAAAACTACGCATAAACAGAGCATTAGTTTCCATTATTTCCTAATGCTTGAAGTGATTAAGTCATTCGATTCAAGGTATTTATTATAGACAAATAATGGTATAGATATATGGGTATGTATGTAACTAAATGTCGGCAATTCGATAATGGAGGCATCTAGACGATGTAACTGTTGTTGGTTGTGGTTGGCCATGGGGTTGGGGAGGGTTTTGATTTTTCGCTGTTATCAGCTGAAAAGCCGGGCCGAAACCAGTTGGCAGCTTCGTGAGTCACATCGTTAACCAGCTTCGTGATAAATCGTCTGACTTCGCCCACCCACGACGGGGCCGTGTATGCTTCGGGTCGATGGGCACATTTATTACACCTGGGAAAATGACGTGAACATCACTCGAAGTTCGTGAGTTGCGGCGTGCGGGCAGCTAAAAAAAAAAAAAGTAGAAAGAACCAAATATATATAGATAACTGATAGATATGCAACAGGTTGCAACAAGTGCTCAAGTGCGGAAATGCTTCTAATAGTGAATGAAATTATAAAAATATAAAAATTTAATATTCCATAACATTTTATATAAATTTGTGATAAAAAGCAAAATATAAAGCATATTTGGCATATTAGTAAAGTGTCTGTGTGTGTTTGTGTGTGTGGATAAACAAACGGTTTGCTTGAATAGTGGTTGGTGTTGTTGTTATTGTTAGTGTGATTGGTCTTATCAGAGAGCCACAGCAAATGCCGATAAGAAAACGTTGCGCAGTCTATGAACGTCCCAGGCAGTGCGCTCGGTTTTCTAAGTTTCAATTATGAGAGTCAATGCGAGAGAGTGTATAACAACTGTTTCGCTGTTTGCACTGCTTCTTCTTCTTGCTTCTTGCTATTCAACTGGCAATCAATCAAAATGTATGAGTATGCATTCCAATTATGTCAATGCGAATTCCAATTAAGAGACCAATAAATCTTTTGTGATTTTGCCGGCGTCTCACATTTTCGCTTTCTACAGTTTTGCTTTTCATGTTGATTCGTTATGGAGAGTTGGAGAAATTCTTATGCATATGCATATATGCATGCGGGCTAACAACAATTATGGCCAACTGTCAGCTGCTCAACGGCTGTGCCCTATTGGGCTAATTGGCATGAGTCAAGTTCAGTGTTTTAACTCCCAGTTGCCTTGCGTTAATGCAAATGTAATACGCTTTTTGTGTTTTCAATGGGGAAGGGGAAAACAAGTCAACGTATTCCATGGAATTCTCTACTACTCTCAATACATAATAAAATAGACAAAAAAATAAAAATAAATAAATAAAGAAAAGAGAAGAGAAGCCAATTGCCTTTGCTTACTTTGTAAGGTGGCTGCATAAGGTAAAATAGCAAAAAAAAAAAAAAAAACCTATAATGAAAAGCAAGAGTATGCCAGACCGGTGTGGTCGACTGACAAATACCCTGAGTCACATGATGAGTGGCTGTTTATGTTGAAATATAAATTATTTCCGATTCAGATAACTTGAGGAAAGATTTGAGAGGCGATTGCATGAATCAATATATAAATTCATTCAGTGCGCAAAATAAAATCGAATTCAGAGAAATTGATAGAGCTTAAAGAGAGAAGACTAGAGGGTTCGAGGAATACCTATGTAAATATATCATTTCCATTACCTTACAGAAAGTTGTTAGGCGATATGGATAGACCCAGCTAGACGATTCTCCACTCTGATCAACAATATATATTGCATACAACTTAGTGACAGCCACGCCTTCTTACATGCGCCTAAACGAAAATATTATACCCCGTTTCTGTATTTTCAATAGGCGCAGGGTATACAAATATTACCAAAGTAAACATAAGCTATACACACATATATGTTTATAAACTAAGCTTCCTGTATATATTATATATACATACATATTTACGTTTGTTTTTTAACACTCATACGGTATATAGTTTCTTTATCAGGCATTTACAGACGTGTGCGTACATATTTATGGTGCCATGTTGTGCTAACTGTCTGACTTTTAGGTTTTATGATATAAACAAAATAGTTTCTCATTTAGGCAAATTTCAGATAAAAGTAAAAAAAAAACGAGCTTTGGCTAGCTTAGCTTCAAGTTTCGTTTTATGGAAGTCATTTTTCTTTATCAATTATCAAATTCATAAGTTTATTTTCTCAGGGTCACGAAATGGGAATGTTGTGTTAAATTTTGTTTACCAAGGTTAGGCATTAGATTATGTAAAGTTGTAAAAGTATTGGGGCTAGAGATTTTTTATATGTTTCTTTATTTAACATTGTTGACGTTGAATTTACATCTAGTATTAGTTTTATAGAACTCTGCTTGAAATAAGCAATTTATTCTTGCTTTTAGATCTATGCTTAGAATTACTAAAAGAAAGTCGCATTCGATATTTCAATTGATTTTTTAAAGAGCCAACTCAAGGTTTTATTATTTGATTTTTATTTGAATTTATCAGAAGACTTTCATTAGACAACCACAATTGACTCGAAAGTGCACCCAATGGCAAGTCGTGAAAGTTTTCGCCGCAATTGTTAGACAGTTTCAATTGGAATTAGAACTTTTCATTTGCATTATAATTGTCGCTATCTCCGATCGGAAATGTTTTAGAATTGAGCACAGAAGAAGCATATGAAATATCTGTTTATCAATTGTGTTAACTTTCTCATATCATCGCTGACGATGACATATGACAATCTAGAACCTGGTGTTCCACTAACTTGTTGCTGTTGCTGTTGCTCTGGTGATTTCCTCTCTCTTTCTCTGTTTGTGAACAATCTATTGTACATTTTCTTGATAACTCGCAGCGCTCGTGGTGGAAAGAGGCGACACAAGTTGTCTAATTACCATGAACTGGTCACAAATATAAAAACGACAACGACAACAACAACAACATCAACAAGCAACAACATTTATCATCACATGAGAAGCGCAGAAACATTTTCAATTCGTAATTCAAGTGAAATCTGTGTGAGAATATTGTCTAAAAATGTCCAATTTGGTTAAGAAAATACGCAGTATTTTATACACACAGCCGCAAAGCGACTCGAAAAGCATTTCCAATGAGAGTTTTAGCTCAGGTCAAGAATCGAATTCGCGCAAATGCAATACACTGCCGCGTAACTACAGTCTGTCGCATAAGTCGACGGTCAAACGGCGTGCGAGTGTCTCGAGATTATGGAATCGCATCGTCTCGAATTTCGAGTCATCCGACGGCGGACTGTTTTACACAGATACGGTAAATGGTGCCGGTGTACGTAGGAAGTCAATAACAAATACATATATCCATGAATCTATGCTTAAAACTAATTTTATTTTGTTTCCGATTTTGTTTTTACAGGGCGAATATATAAAGCATCCAGTTCTATATGAGCTCAGTCATAAATATGGCTTCACAGAGAATCTGCCCGAGAGCTGTATGTCCATACGGCTCGAGGAGATCAAAGAGGCCATACGCCGTGAGATTCGCAAGGAGCTGAAGATCAAAGAGGGCGCCGAAAAGTTACGCGAGGTGGCCAAGGATCGTCGCTCGCTCAGCGATGTTGCCGTTCTGGTCAAGAAGAGCAAAAGTAAATTGGCCGAACTGAAATCGGAATTGCAGGAGCTCGAAAGTCAAATACTGCTTACATCGGCCAACACGGCGGTCAATAGCAATGGTCAAGGTAAGCGAGAAGCCAACAAACAACAAATAAAGATTACTAAACTCTAGATTATATAACCTACGCAAAACTTAACTTTCCCAACAGTTAAAGCTTCTTTTTCATTTTACCGCTACGCCTGTAAAAAGAAAATCGTTAAATGTTACTTCAAGTATCGTTTTACGAGCACTTGTCACGCAAACCCGGCAACTGTCTCGTTATTCATCTATCTCTCTCTCTATATACATATAATTTTATTATTTTTATCTATGTCGCGCTTTGCGTGTTCTCTTACATTATGGCCAGGCGTGAAATACTTGTGAGCGAGTTTATCGTTTACGCTCGGTATCTATAACAAAACACTCAGTTAGTGTCAGGTTTTTTTGATTGTTTAATATAGTTTGTTTGGGTTTACCCTCTAGCTAGATGTAATTTATGGCAAGAGTGTATTAGAGAGGGGGATAAAGAGGTCTTAGAGTTTGACAGGGATGCAACAGAAATATTTGGTTTAGAGATTCTGGTGTATCTAGAGCTCTAGAAATGTTTTACTAATTATTGATAGGTTTTATAGTTTTTAATTCAATTTCAATATTTTAGCATGTTCTAAAGCTTTCCATATATAAAAACTCTTTAAAAAGTTTTAAAAATTCTCTAACACAATTTTACATTTATTGTTAGGATATTTACGAGTCGAGCATGTCCCGCCAAATAGACTGTTTGCTTGTTTAGCTTTTCTTTTTATATTCTCTCTGTTATTCTTTGCTGCTGTTGTTGTTGTTTTTCAACTATTGATACAAGTGGCATGAAATACATTATATTTTAGCTGAATGTGACTGCTCAACATTTTGGGGCTTTAGTTCTATCTGCTTCCGTGTTTGGCTTTGGCCACCAGCTGCTGCATCTGCAGCATCAGCGAGCACGAGTTGATTTCATCATTATAGTCATCATGATGATCAACATCATTATTATGTTTAATATTATCATCATCATGATCGTGAAGATCTGTAGCATCTGCTGAAAGCTTCATGACTTTCCATCTGCTCAATTGATTGACATGTTTGGCAGCAGCTGCCAGCGAAGTGCAACAAACATTTGATAGCTGTTTCTTGCTTTTCGGTTGTGATATAGCCTAAATTAACATACGGTTTTGCTGGAATTCTGTAGATAGAATTTGCTGGGAATTATATAGCTTTGGCTAGCGATGAAGTCTTGTTGAGAGAGTTCTTAGGCCCAGTAAAGCTGAACATGTGTGAAAAGAACTCTTAGGTTCTTAAATTCTAGATAACATTTTAAATTTATATTTAAACATTGGAGAAAATATTAAAATGTGTAAGATAAACAACATACAAAATTTATTTTCATATTTTAACAGAAACAAAAATCTGTTAAATCTAAAATAAGAACAAATTTTGTTTAGTTTTAAACAAGAAAAATCTTTAATACAAATATTGAAAATTGTTAATTTATTCACATATAAAGATGAAGTATTGTAGGTCTGTCTACTGTTTATCCAAACATCTATCTATATGTCTGCATACCTCTATCTCTCTCTCCCTCTCCCTCTCCTCTCTCCATCTTTCTCCTTCTCTCTCTTTCTCCCCCTCTCTATATATATTTATACAGAAGTTGCAAAGCTTTCTTTATACTTTTATTATGACCATTAAAATTCTATTTTAATCAGCTTAGCCATAATAAAATTTTGTTTCATTAAATAGACAGCAGTAAATTATTGGCCAAACGTGCCACATTCAAAGTTCTTCGACATAAATCTATTCCAAGCTTATGCTATATGCCATGTTCTATTTATATGTATTCCTTTCTCTTTCTCCTGTTCTAAATTCCACATATTTAATCAGGTGTTATAGGTGACTTTGTCATTTGCAAACACCTTTCACCTGGCCTTTCAGTCTGCTGCCCTTCTACAGCTTAATGCAAGCGTAATTATATCATCGGACGCACGTGGGTGTCGCTGCAGCGTGTTAATCACTGTGAATGACCCCTGACCTCTGACAGCATGTGGCTAAATGTTGCCAGCAGGTTAAACGATCTGACCTGACAGACCCCCTTTTCTCTCCCTCCCCCCTCAAAGCAACCAGCTGTGTGCTAACTGATGTCAAGGGCACCTATTGAAAGCTAAGTGAAGCGATTGTAGTTAATATGTGACAAGGAATTGATTGGGAGACTACTAGATACCCTGTAAAGGGAAGGGATAATGAATATAAATATGAAAGTAGTAGGAGTTAATGTGTTAGAGTGAATAAAATTTAAGTAGATTACCTGAGGTATTCGTAATATATCTAGGAAATGAATTTTATGGCTAAAGATATATATTTTTTTTAAAGAATTTCCGCTCTTTGATTTTGCTTGATCAAGTAGATTTTCAATCAATTCCTTAACTAAAATATTAGTCTGCATACAGGGTATTTACATATTCAACCATTGAGTATAACACGCTAATCAAATAAAAAGTTATTTTTGTTTGATTTCAATGTCAATGTAAATTATTCTATGTCATTCACAGGGTTGATATTTGATGATTACACATACTCTGTATGCTCTCTACTCTATATTGATTTAACCAAGAGATAATATCAGCCCTTATAAGCTTTGACTAATCAGAAATAAGTGACAAAATATTATACAAAATTTCTCTGCACTGTTGCAAATTATATGAAGAACCCATCTACCCCATTCCATGCCACTCTAGGGTATTCACTATTGTGTTTTTATACTCTACTGCACATTCGAGCAAAAAGAATCTATAAAATGCATTAAATATGAATTTCCCATCTTGTTTACAGAATCGATTGCCTTCAGCCTTGATGGCAACGGCCCTGCCCAGCTGGCGGGCGCTGTCGGCGGCTTGGGCATGAACAATGCGATGGCTGGCGGCGGTGCACCGGCTACGGCCAATGACAAGGTGCTCGCCTCGCTGGAGAAACAGCTGCAGATCGAGATGAAGGTGAAAACGGGCGCCGAGAATATGATCCAATCGCTGGGCATTGGCTGCGACAAGAAACTGCTCGCCGAGGCACACCAAATGCTGGCGGACTCCAAGGCCAAGATTGAGTTCTTGCGCTTGCGCATCATCAAAGTCAAACAGAATCGCGAGCAGGCCGATCGCCTGAAGGCCGCGCGCCAGCTGACCGACGAGCATGGCGCTCTGATAGCGGGCATGGGCTCTGGCAGCGGCATTGGCTGCATGCAGCCCCAGAGCCTGGAGACGACGCTGGAGGAGCGCATCGAGGAGTTGCGTCATCGGCTGCGCATCGAGGCGGCTGTTGTGGATGGAGCCAAGAATGTCATACGCACGCTGCAGACGAATCGTGCGCCAGACAAGAAGGCGCTGCAGGAGGTGAGTGGGCGGCTTTTAATTTATTTTATTATTCGTACTTTATGCTTTACCTACTTAGTGTTAATTAGATTAGCCTAAATTCTTAGAGCTGGCCGTTGGCCAGGTAAGCGAAATGCAAACGCGCGCGTAAACGGGCGGGCCAAATCGTATGGCCTGCCCCTTGTTTGTAACAAAGTGTGAGAGTGAGACAAAGAGATAGAGATAGAGAGAGAGAAATCTTAACAGTATTTGTGGCGTGTGCCACACGGCGTATGATTCATGTGCACATGCGTTGCGTATACGCGCTGTGTGCCTGAAGACAATGCTGCGCAGCAACCAAGTAAAACGAAATATGAAAAAAAAAAAAAACAAAAAGAAAAAAACGGGGCTAATTACGCGGCTGTTGAAAATATTTCAATTTTTTCCCTGCTCTCTCGTTGTTTTTCATTTTATGTATATTTTTAATGCTAACTGTCGCCTCATTAATTTACTGGCAAGCTGGCTTGCAAAATATGCCCGAAAATATGCACAGCATTTCAAAATGACAATTGGCCAGGGACACCAGAAGGCCCTATAGGCCGAAGTGCTGTAACGTGGGGTATATGGGTTTGTAGAGGCAGTTTGACGAAAGAAGAGAATATGGGAACATGATGGGAATAAGATTTGGCTGGAATGAATGGAATATGAAAATAATGTTGCTTAGCAAAAATGCTGTTCTAATTTATAATTTGTTCCATTTTACATGGATTCATAATGCTGTGCAAGCAAATTGAAGGATGGGGTTAATTTATTTCTTGGTTATTGATATGTTCTTTTCATATACTTTATCATTTTGATATAGAGTCTAATCTCGAGTATTGCATTTCCATAAATCTTAGATATTATATAAATCAGAGTTAAATATGAGTAAAATCTTGATATGCGAATTATTTTGATATGAGTATAATCTCGATATGTATATAATTTATTCCTTAATCTTATATAATATTCGTTGCTTAAAATCTCTTGACGAGAAGAAAATCATTCAGCTATCGATCATTGCAGTCATTAACTGACTAAAGCAATTTATCATCTGACTCAAGTCAATTATTTAAAAGAGAAGAGCTTCTGTTTGTCAGCTCTTCTTAAATACTCTACCAAAGCGTATTCAAGCTTCGTCACTGATCGCTTAATTTCTCTTGTCATCCCACTAATTTCACAATATTTCCGACTTCCTGTTGCTTGGACAAATGAATGCCTGCTCCATGCTGTTGATTTATATGTTTAGCTGCTGCTGCGGTTGTATCTCTCACTCTCTCCATCTCCCTCTCTCCCTCTCCCTCTCCTTCTCTATATATATACGCATTTATATGCTTTTCAATGACTCCAATGGACGGGGGCGCAGCATCCCCTACCCCCAACCACAAGAAGAATAGATCGTGCCTGGATCTGACGTGTGGTTGGTTCGCTTTTCTATTTGCAGTTCATATTTATTTGTTTTAAAATGAAGGAACGAACGAGCGCGGGTGGATGCTTGGCATAGATTTTTCAAAATTCCAGCTGCAGTTTTAGTTTTTGTTTCTCTCGACATAAACAGTTGCTAGCAAGGGCTATAGCTGGGCTAGCAGGAGGGTTGCTTAGACTCTAGCGACAAGTGGGGCGACAGATGTTGCTGCGATAAACAAAAAGCCGAGGAGCCAAATGCCCTTTGCACGCTGTTGTGTTTGCTAAACATTAATAGAACTATGCTAAACGCATACATAGAAGCACATATATAGAGTTTCTAAGATATATATACACATATCGGTGTGTGTGTGTGTGTGTGAAAAGAGCGCAGCCAAAAATTCTGTTTGTGTGCGCGCTGCACGTTTTCAACCAGCGGAAAAATTGTTTCTCTAGCGAATTTTCACGCATTTCAGTTTGAGTTCAGTTGCCGCTTAGGCTACGTGCGCGTTTTCTTTCCTTTTCTTTTTCGTTTTGCCGCGCGTGTCCGTTTGCTTTATATTTCCTATTTTATTTTATTTTTTTTTTTTAAGTATATCCATAATTTTTAATTACATTGGACAGCTGCTGCGGGTTTTAATTAAAGTCTGCTGCATATGCAATTAAAAAAAAAAAAAATAAATGTCGCATAAACTATAAAGCGAGATAGGGATAGAGAGTGAGACAAACATCAATTGAATTCCAGGCATTAAAAAAAAACACATTACGCATACGCAGCGTATTACGAGTTTATAAATATAAAATAAAATAAATAAATAAATTGCGTAATTTTTAGCTTCTTCGTTTTGTTAACTTTTCGTGCTGCAATTTTATTTTGGTGCGTGGCTTTTCTCAATTTGGCTTTTGGGGTCATCTTGCGATTTTTAGTATTTTACAACAACAATAAACGAGAATTTATAAATAAATGCACATAAAATTAGAAACACACAATTTTACATGCCAAGTGAACAAACAACAAAACACATACACATACACATATATATGCATATATATAAACTATATAAAACGAAAGTGTTTTTGTGCGTGGCTATAAATAAATATAAAACAAGAAAAATAGAAAAGATTATTAAGATTATAATCAAACGTTAACAATATAAATCGGACCCATAACGAGGGTGGTTTCAAAAGAATTAATTCGAAATTATTGAAGTTAAGCTATAACAAAACGATAGTAAACGATTTTATAAATATTAAATATTTAAAAAAAAAAGTCATAATATAAATCACGCAAAGATTTCACTTAATTAATTGGCTAATTAATTCAGCGAAAAAAATATATAATTCGGTTTAATCAATTCTTTTATGTTTCATCAAAGAATCATGAATAATTTCTGCCCGCTGAATTTATGAATATTTCAATTCCTTTTCAATTTTTTCTTGCCGCTAATGTCTTTTGATCGCCAAACAAATATATAAATTTTTATGTATATATGCATATGTAGAACATGATGATTCAGATAGCAATATGTACGTCATGTGCAGCCAATTATTAGAAGCCATAAATTTCATGCTACAAATGGTCTATGTTATTTATTTTAGAACCTTATGCATTATGCATATTTCGTGTTGCGTCTAGATTTTAATTAGAACTTATAAATTTTGTGATCAAAATATGATTTAAATTTGTTCAAAGGAAATCTTAAAAACAGACAACAATATTCCTTAATTCTTGGAATAATCGAATTGAAATTAATTAGTAAAAAAAAATCAATAAATAAAAAATAGAATAGAATA